ATGTATGATTACAACTCACTGAAAGTTCAGATGATGGCATTTTTTAGTAATGAAGTATTTTTGTTTAAGGTATATACATTTTTTATACATAATGCTATTGCACACTTAATAGACTACAGTAGAGTATAAACATAACTTTTATATGCACTGGGAAGCCAAAAAGTTCATTTGACTTACTTTATTGCAATATTCACTTTATTGCAGTGGTCTGGAATCGAATTTGCAATATCTCTGAGGTATGCTTGTATACATTAAATATGGATAAAGGGTAAGTAAATGGCTTGTGACAGATAGGCAGAATTCATAAAATGTGTTAAATAGAGCGCAAATAGCTTTGTAGCCTGTGAGACATGCTAAAAGGTAGAATAAATGAAATAATGAGGAACAAACAAGAATGTTTGAGATAGAAAAAGATGTACAGACCAAGTCATGACAATGGTATTTCCAGGCTGACCCCTGTCTTCTCTTCTTCAGCCACCCATTGGTGACACTATATGATCCCATTCAGGCCCCATACGTGCTAAACTCCATAGTTTTTTAACAGGCTAATTGGGGAGCTGCAGCAATAGCCAAGCATACTTCCCCTGCCTCTCTCAGAGAAAGAAGGTGGCACAACCAGCCTAGATTACTCTCCTGTTGAGCTTCCTGGTGCAAACCTCAACTCTGGTTTTGTGAGGATGCCATTGGTGGGAAAAGTGTGTCAGAGAGAGACAGGACAGATGAGTGCTGTGCAACACGGGAATCCACCCACCTGAACCCTACCCAAAGCAGTGCACCTCTTTCTTCTTACTTCTCAATGCGTGGGTTGTTTTTTTGTTATTTTTTTTATCACTTTTTTTTAAGTAGGCTTCACGTCCAATATGAGGCTTGAACTCACAACCCTGAGATCAAGGGTCGCATGTTTTACCAGACAGGTAAAACAGAACCAGACAGGTGCCCCTTAACAAGTGTTTTTTAACTGATTTAATAAACCACGGGATTCAAATGTTCCAATTTGGTCTTCGAGTTTTTTGATTCTGAGACCTCTGGTTTGTGCTAAGAAAGCACCACTACATCAAAGTAATGCATTGTAGTGATAACTAGGTTATGCAAGGGAAGATGTTTCCTTTGTTGTATCTTTCTGATTTTTCTCATTTAGAAAAGTCGAATATTATTTAGAAAAAGCATCAAAAATAATGCATAGTAGAATTTCTCTTTTTTTAAGATTTTTTTATTTATTTATTTGACAGAGATCACAAGTAGGCAGAAAGACAGGCAGAGAAAGAGATGGAAGCAGGCTTCTTGCTGAGCAGAGAGCCCAACGCAGGGCTCCATCCCAGGATCCTGAGACCATGACCCAAGGTGACAGCAGAGGCCTAAGCCACTGAGCCACCCAGGCACCCCTGCATAACAGAATTTCTATTGAACAGAAGAGAGTGCTGTCATGCATTTTTAAATGCTTTCAAGGTAATTCTGACACACATCTACTCAGAGGCAGATTTTTATTTCGGTTCTTTGCACCAGATTTTTCAAAACATTGAATTCTAGACTTTCTTTTTGTAAAATTTCTTAGAATTCAATTAGACTAAAGAGGATGTTAAAGTGTTCATTTTGTTTTTTATCTACAAGTTAATTGTGTCTCATTTATCCAAATATATACTGAGTACTCACTATGTGCCAGGCACGGAGCTAGCTCTGAGAAGAAACTTGTGGAAGATATCGTCCTTACCCCAGGCTTCTCTTGTACTCTCTACCAGCCCCAAAAATCTTTTCCCATTATATTATCTCAGGTAACCTTTCATTTTGAGCTCCCCTTACTCCTTTTTCTGATCTTTTTCTCTCTAAGAGGCTTCCTGATTCTGAATTATAAAAGTTGAGGAACCTGGCAGATAATGGTAATAGTCTCCTTTGAGAATAAAGGTAGAAGAAATTAAAGACAAAGGAGATAAAGTTGGGGAAGAAAACCCAAAGCTTTAAATTTTTATTTTGTTAGTTATAACAAATACTTTTCATAAATACATTAATAATTTTAAGAAGTTTATCTTACTGGGAGCAATGAAATTAACTATTAAATATTTATAAAAATTATAAAATATTTATAAATATTATTTTTATAAATATTTAATATTTATTTAATTATAAAATATTTATAAATATTTATTTAATACCATAAAATATAGTATTTTATAAAATATTCATTTAATACTATACAATACGGAAATTCAAAAGTTTGCTTTTGTGTTCAGTTTATTTTAATAATCAACTTCATAGGAAGTCACAGCTGCACATATGACCTCACAAGTAAGTGTAGCTCCAAACAGAACATTTGGGCTGTACTTACCAAATTATCATACCCACCTTGGATTGGCTATGATTGCTGAATTATAACACCTATTTTCCACAATCTAATCACCAGGTCTTTGTTTTATTATATCCCTTTTCCTAATATCAATCAGTTCTTCTCATAAACCAGTCAGATGGTCTTGTATTTTTTAACAAACTGTTTCAAAACCCACTGAAATTCTTCCTTGGACGGTTTTCAAATAGTTTAGGTTCCAAGTTTTTTAAGCATATATATATGTGAGAGTTTATGTAGGAGACACAAATAGTTTTTGACAACAAAACTTATAGAAATATTTCTAAAACATATTTAACAAACTGTGTTTTTCATAAAAGAAGTTGTACTCAAGAAACAGCTACTTTTTCATCCATCATTGTATGTTTATTTTAGGAATTACTTTATAGAGACATGTTAATGCTTCTAATTTTTCAAAGAATCAAAATGTTGCTTACTGCCAACAGCAACCTAGAAAAAGTTTAGAAAATCTAAAGACTTTTGTAAAACAAACAGCCTTTTTAAACACTTAACTAAAATCTTATTATCGAACCTCAGTGCCATAAGAAATACTCTTTTTTTTTTTTTTAAGATTGTATTTATTTGTTTGAGAGAGAAAGAGACAGCAACCACAAGTGGGTTAGAGAGATGGAGGGAGAGGGAGAAGCAGCCTCCCTGCTGACCAGGGAGCTCAAGGCTGGACTTGATCCCAGGACCCGGAGATCATGACCTGAGCCAAAGGCAGACACTTAAGCAACTGAGCCACCCAGATGCCCCATAAAAAATACTTTCATTGTCACTCTATTTCATTTTTTTAAAAAACATTTTAAAAATTTTATTATTTAAAACAATATAATTGGTAAATTTTTTCATCTAACATACCTAAACCATATTACATTACAATACACTGAAAATGAATTTGTCACTCCATGCTCTGAAACTCCCTTTCTTTTCTCTACATATATCTTCACCATGCAGACTATCAAATAAAACAAAACATTTTGACATGTTCCCATTATACTAACTTAATAGTCTACCAGCAAAAAGTAAGGCTCCTGAGTAGAAACATGACATATGAATGTTTGACATTTGGGTCTATCAGTACTTACATTAGATACCAGTAATGCTTATTTTATTTTTTATTTTTAATTAAAGACTAAGTTGTAGAATTTTCTTTCCACATTTAATTGATCATCTTATACATATCCCCAGGTGGGTGTGCTCCACCCTGGAGATTTTAAGGAGTGTCACGACTTCTCTGAGGTCCCTCTGCTTAGTTTAAGAAACTTCTCTCTCAACTGAACACAGACGAATGGAACAAATACTGAAATATGGCATGTAAGTGTTAAAACCACTTATAACATGAAGGACGGCCAGTCTAAACTTTAGACTTCCTAGGTTTGGAGTTGCACAGAAAAGAAAAAAGGAAATGCCAATGTGAAGGTTAAATTTATGTAAAGCTGTAAAGTTTTGTTAACAGCCTTTCCAAGTTCAACAGTCATTTGACACAAAGACATATTAGCATCCATCAATAACTAAGATGTTTGTCCCAAATGAACCTACTCTAAAGTGCAAATTGTTTTTCTAACCTTTCTACAATCCACTCTATCATGGGAAGTGGAATAGAAACTATCATGATGTTCCCTACAATTTATCCTCAGTTCTCAATGTCTCCGTGAACGAAGGTCACAGGGTAGAAAATAGTCTGGCTTATTTTAATGATTTGGCTCTTTTCTCAAAATAATCCATCCTAAATCAAAACATGGATAACTGATTGAATTTGTTCCATTTAAGTTTCATTATAGTGCTAGAGATATGCATATAAACATAAAAAAAAAGAGCTTAAAAATATTCTAAAAGTTATACTTAAGAATCACACTTTCTTAAGCTGGAAGAAATAATTTGTGTTAATGTAAAATCTATCTGAATTTAACACTCAACTGTCTCAACAAATGTAGACATTTAATGCTATAAACATAATAAAAACATATAAACATAATATTATAAACAATCCACCTATTTCACTCAGATCATTTTCCTTTAGTTTTTCACAGTACTGGATGTTCAAATACTTGACTAGAGAGTCAAGACCCTGCATCACATTGCATGAAACATTATACTGTTCCTGATATTTATTTAGCCTGAAGTAATGGCTGAAGATCGGAGACAGGTAAGTAGCTCCTTCCTATATTTACTATCCCTTTTAAGTACGCTTACCTTACTAATGTTAAATATCAATGAACCCTAACCCCTTGACATCATTTCCAGAGAATGGACCATCTTAAATTCTCCTGGTAGTTTAGTTCCTCCTGAAAGCATGTTAGATACTATATAAAATAATATTAAAAGACACCAAGGACAATAAGTTTCCATCAATTAGAAGTCCTCCCATAGACACACCCTCGGAAATCCCAAAGAGTTGAGAAACTTTTCAAAATGGACTTGAATGTTCAATCTGTTCATCAGAAGAATGTGAGTCTCTATCTGCCTAAGAAAAGAATATATGCAAAGGGGTACCTGCCAATATCTACTCACAATTACCCATTGTTTAAGAAAAGATCATCAGACTAGAAATAAGTTCATCACACTTTTTTTGTTACCAGGAGAAATCCAGCAAAAAGGCTGCATATAATCACCAGTATTTTCCTATAAATTCTCCTTTTTAATATCATTTTTAATTCTAATTACCATCAAGAGGATGTTCACATACAGTAGCTGATAAGAATCTACCTGACGAGAAGGAACTCCTAACAGGGTAAGTATATGGATATTTGGAAATATCCAGTCCATTCTGGAATTTACCTACAATTCCTCAGTTTACAATAGAATTCTTAATAAAGGGTACATAAAAGAAATGCCAGAAGATATTAATTGCAGTCGATCCAAAAACTCAAATGTGCCTTAAGATAAAAAGGTGGGACATAATATTTTTTTTAAGATTGAAAGTTTTCAGGGCATCTGGTTGGCTCCATCAGAATAGTATGTGACTCTTGATCTTGAGGTTGAGTTCAAGCCCCACGTTGGGTGTAGAGATTACTTAAATAAATGATTTTTTTTTTAAGATTTAAATTTTTCAACAACTGAATGTGGCTAAGAAAAGAGATTTTATTGTATTTTGAAATAGTTATTTTGGAGCAACTCTTGAAACTAAGATAAAATGCAAAATCCAAGACCTCACTGTGGTTTCATAACACCCGTGTAATAAGTAATAAGTCTTACTGTTGGAATTTCTCCAGCTTTATCTCAACCACTCGTCCCGTTGACCACTATCCTCCCACCACACTGGACTTCTTGAAATTTGGCTGTGTGTCTGCCTTAAACCCTCTTTCCATACTCATTGTCTAGCTAACGTTCTCATTCTACAGATGTCAGCATAAATGTCACTTCACCAAAATGGTGCCTTTTCATTCCTTATCCCTCTCAATCAGAATTGTCCTGTTTTATACCTTCTTATAGCACCTATACTTGTTCTTCATTGCACTTATTACCATTTCTAATTGGGTATTTGTGTCTTTATTTAATTATGGCTTGGCTCCCTAACTTGTTCTATGAGATGAAAGAATTCTGCTTTGCTCACTATTGGATTCTTAGTGTCCCACATACTCCTGCCACATGACAGACTTACAATAACCTTCCATCCAATTTTCCTTTAAATAAAATGTTCCTCCCAGGATAGCTTAATTTTCTGTAATGTTCACCAGAAGAGGTAATAGAAACCAAATTAAGTTAGCACTTGTCAAAATAAATGTCATAGTGAAAAACCCTCAATATGTTCCATGGCTTCTTTTATCTGAGCCAAACATGAATTTAACAGGAACAAAAAATTTTCTATTTTTACTGTGTTTTTTTTTTAATTGTGATTTTTTTTTACTCTCATCATTTATTATGTCTACAAGATCAAAATTGAATTTAGCTAACTAGACACTTGGAAAATTAAATCCTATGTAAATATAATCTTCAGGAAGCCATTATCTCTAAAAAAATAAATGTGATTTCAAACTAACAGAACTAGCTGAAATATTTGGAGTTAGAAAGTCGTATATAAGAGCCTAGTCATTTATTTGTGTGTGCAAAATCTTCAGGATTTAATTTTAAGAAAAAAAAACTTCATTTTAAAAACTCAGCTTTAAAAATGAAATAATGAACATCTTACAATGTAAAAATAAAAACAAAAACTAAGGTTTAGTCTAGAGTTGAACCTTATCTCAAAGAGCAGTGTACATTATTCAAATAAAAAGTACAAGAGCATTTAAAATATTTGCTTTGTGGAGCACTGGGTGGCTCAGTGGGTTAAAGCCTCTGCCTTCGGCTCGGGTCATGATCTCAGGGTCCTGGGATCGAGTCTCGCATTGAGCTCTCTGCTCAGCAGGGAGCCTGCTTCCGCCTCTCTTTCTGCCTGCCTCTCTGCCTACTTGTGATCTCTGTCAAATAAATAAATAAAATCTTTAAAAAAAATAAAATAAAATAAAATATTTGCTTCCTAACCTACCAGTCCTTCTTCTCACTCTCAACCTGCACTCTGTGAGGAAATATTTATTTGTGTTAGCTATGCCAGGCAGTTTGCCAGGCACTAAGGATACAGAGATTTGGGTTTTTTAAGTTCCAGTCTTAAGAAGAAACCCTCAGGGGTGCCTAGGTTGCACAGTGGGTTAAGCCTCTGCCTTAGGCTCAGATCTTGGTCCCAGGGTCCTGGGATCGAGCCCCGCATCGGGCTCTCTGCTCAGCAGAGAGCTTGCTTCCCCTCTCTCTCTGCCCGCCTCTCTGCCTACTTGTGATCTCTCTCTCTGTGTCAAATAAATAAATAAAACCTTAAAAAAAAAAAAAAAAAGAGGAAACCCTCAGTCTGGACATATGTAGGGGTGGTCTGGGTAGAAGAGTAGATAATACAGTTTAACTCGGGATAGTATTGGGCATAATGTGAGGACACAGGAAGGCTTAGGGGTCATAGCCATACAAAGTTTTAAAAGATGAATAGAAGTCATCTGCTCACAAGATCAATGGGAGACAGAGAAGCCAATGTAGATTCCAGGGTAGCAAGAACATAGAGTAATTGGAAAACTGCCAGTCCTTTACGTTGGCATAGCTCATTTAAAAAAAATATTAGACAGAATGCAGAGGACCTACACCCAAAGAATTTGGATTTCATTGTGCAGCTGTGGAAGTAAACAAAGAATTTTAAGCAGATTTTTGGAAGGACATTCCGGTTACAGAAGAAAAGGAGCTGCAGGAAGGTTGGAAGGTAGAGTAGTAGGGCTTCAGGAAGCTTGGAGGCTATCACATAGTACCTTAAGAAATTGTGAAAAAAACTGAACTACAGATGGGGACATGGAATAAGTCAAAAATGATGAGGAAATCTAATGAACTGAATAAAGATTTGGTCACGGTTGGAATTGATGAATCCTGTTGAAATATGAGGTGGGAGTGTGGAGTGAAGACGAGTTTGACAAGCGAAATCAAAAATGACTTTCATGGGGCGCCTAGGTGGCTCAGTGGGTTAAAGCCTCTGCCTTCGACTCAGGTCATGATCCCAGAGTCCTGGAATCGGGCACGCATCGGGCTCTCTGCTCAGAGGGAAGCCTGCTTCCTCCTCTCTCTCTGCCTGCCTCTCTGCCTACTTGTGATCTCTGTCTGTCAAATAAATAAATAAAATCTTTAAAAAAAAAAAATGACTTTCATATTCTCCTTTAAACAAGTGTGTGAATGGTAGCGTCACTCATTCCGAAGGGATTGTAGTAGGACAAGAGGTGGGGTGAGACAGGCGTGTTACTAGTCTAGTTTTGAAGTTGTCAGTTTGGAGTTCCTGTTGGAAATGTGAAGGGGAAGTGCAGTGGTTGTAGGATACATAGTTTGGGAGCTCAGAGAGAGCCCTATTGTAAAGATAGAGATTTGGGAGACAAGAACATAGAGCTGGCCGCTGAGGTCCCCGCTCTGATGAGATTGCTCAAGGGGGACACATGCAACAGAAGACAGGACCCTCCTGAACGCGCTGTTTTCTCTTTCTATTCCATGCTCTGCTTTCCCTGCACTTCCTCTATCCGTTTCTCACAACTCCCGTATCTCTGTACTTGTTAGATAATATCCCATTATAAGGAACTAAATTTTGTTTTAATGATTCCTTAACTATGTAAGAATTGTATATACATTTTGTTGAACTTTTAAGTAAACTCCACCTTGTGTGTGACTTGAACTTATGACCTTCAGATCCAGACCTGAGCTGAGATCAAGAGTCAAACACTTAACTGAGCCACCCAGGTGCTGTCATTGTGTTTAACTTTTTCTTTTAATTTTATTAACATATAATGTATTATTTGCCCCAGGGGTACAGGCCTGTGAATCATCAGTCTTACACACTTCACAGCACTCACCATAGTACATACCCTCCCCAATGTCCATAACCCAGCCCTCCATCCCTCTCCCTCAACCCCCTTAAGATAACTTTTAAAAAGGAGTGAGCAGGGGCACCTGGCGGGCTCACCCAGTAGAGACTGCAACTCTTGATCTCTGGGTTGTAAATTCAAGACCCACATTGGGTTGTAGAGATTATTTAAAATAAATAAATAAATAATTTTTTTAAAGTAGGTGAGCATTTCAGTTTCTACTTTTTTCTGTCTAAAATTAGCTAAACTAAATTGTCTTTTACATGGGTAAAAATCTAAACTAATTTGGGAGAACATAGGAAGGTAAATTTGCTTATAAGTTATTTCCAAAATTCTTACTCCAGTATCAGTCTTTAAGTATGATTTTTCATTTTCAACCCAAGTAAGAAAATGATGATGCATTTCCTTTTTTATGTAATATATAGCCTTATCTGCCTAGAAATATCTGGTGCATAGCAGAAATATTGTGCATAATTTAAAATTATACCACACAGTAAAATTAATACTTTACTAATAGTCTTCCAGGATTTTAAAAACTTCCTGTAAAGACTTTTAGTGGTTGTTGTTGTTGTTTATACATGGGTAGGATATATTGCACAAATATCCTCTAACTTTGTCTGGAGGATATTTCTTCGCAAACATATAGGAATCCTCAGAAGATAAAAGGAATTTAGTTTACAGGCAGGCTTTAATTGCGGGGAAAAAATGTTCTTTATAAAATATCAGTATTTTAATTATTTGAGCTCTTATTTCATGAGCCTTAAAAAAGAAAATAAAGGGCTGCTTTTTGCATTTATTTATAAATATATATAAATATAATATAAATAAATATAAATAAATAATAATAAATAAATATAAAATGTACAATTTTATATTTATATATAATATCTTATATAATATAATAATAATTTATTTAATAATAATATATAATTATAATAATATAAATATATTGTATTTATATTAAATATAAAATAAATAAATATAAATATAAATATAAATAAATATATAAATATAAATATAAATATTAAAACTTTTCCAAGCTATGCCTGTTGTGTAAATAAAAGTTTTGCTCCAATCTTGCATCAGTGTGACTAAAAGAATAATCATTTTGGCTTTTTGCAGAGTATAGCAACTAAACATGAAAATCATATTCCAAATTTTTTGGGTTCTAAGCCTCTGCTTCTTGGTAAGTTCCATTAATCAGAAAGATTCTTCATGCTTATCTGATTCTAGTAGTGGACAATGACTTGGAATCATCTTTGTAGAATTTTCACTCTAGTTGATCTTTGACTCCAAACACTGTAGTAAAAGGATGCATAATCAGTATGATGAGTTTTTAAAAAGATACAAATTTTTGCATGGGCTTAATACATCAGCCATGAAGGCAAATAGCAAAAAAAAAAAAAAAAAAAAGACTCCAAAAATTATTTTGGAACAATAGCACTGTTGAAACAGGAACATAAAGTATCAAATGACTACTTTAAAACAGAATTTCATTTAGATATATATGCTCTGATATAATTATTTAAGGGAAAAGCATCCAAGTGTTTTTTTTTTTTTTAAGATTTTATTTATTTGTTTGTTTGTTTGTTTGACAAAAAGAGAGAGAGCACAAGCAGGGGGAGCAGCAGAGGGAGAGGGAGAAGCAGGCTCCTCACTAAGCAGGGAGCCCAATGCTAGGCTCGATCCCAGGACAATGGGATCATGACCTGAGCCTAAGGCAGTTGCTTAACTGACTGAGCCACCCCTTTAAGTGCTTTTCTTTTCTTTCTTTCTTTTTTTTTTTTTTTCCCCACCTGTCCTCATTTCATCACATTGGCCATAGTTCAGAACTCAGGGAGAAAGCTGGTGAGGGCGTTCAGGCTTAAAATACTGTATATAGCAGATGGGCTAGATCGTAGTAGAAGTTATGAATTTGATCAACCCTACATCCCAAACATCTTCTCTAAATGTTCCCAATCCTTTCTCAAGCTAACTGCTATCAGGCTCGTCTCTTGGACCCTGTCTTCCCCTGTACCTCTCTCACGTGGGGGCTGGTGTCTTCCCTCTTCCCGCATTCCATAAGAACTGCTGTGATGGTTGACCTCCTTGCTTTTGATCACTGCTTCCAGCCTGTTCTTCCCTCTCACATTCTTGAAAACCTCTAGCTTTGAATTTCCCATCACCTATTACACGACCCACCAACCTGTCCAGGTTCAGTCATCAATTGACCCAGGCTGCTGGTTCTCATTCCTCAAGGGTTTTAGCACCTGGCTCATTATCACTCTCTGATGTTATTCTCATCTTAATTCTTGGTAATTTCAATATCCCCATAGACAATCTTTCCAAAACACTATCCTCTCGGTTGCTGATACCGCCATCTGAAGAGATCTTATCACTCACCAAACCAACACTTCTGTCTTTCCAGGCCTGTCCCTCTTGTGCTCTAAATCTTCTAAGCCTATTTCATTGTCTTAACTTCCCTTGTGTTCTCATTTTTCTCCTTAGTTGAATTAGAGTTCATGGTCTACCAGTATTAACCCCTCCTTTCTTTTCTTCCCATCCATATAGTTTTTCACTATTCTAGATAACTAGCACCATTCCCTCTCCTCTCACACGTCCAAAACCTCTTCCTCCATCCTCTTTCTTGCTGATGACTTACTTCCCATTTCACCAAGAAAATAAAAACAACTAAAGACGAACCCTCACAAGTTCCTATCACCATTATCTATACTCACCTACTCTCAGCCACACCTATATATTCTGAGCAGTCCAAATTCCTTGCTAAGACCAATCTTTTCACTCATGCACTTGATCTCACACCATCTTGCTTACTCAAGGACATCACCCCTAAAACCCTCCTCTCTCTGCTCTCATCACTTTTCTCACTCTCAATTAGATTTTTCTCAACAATATGAATGTTTATTTTTCTATTTTAATAAAGAAAACCCCTATCAATTCCCCTCACGTCTCTCTCAGCTACTGCTCTACTTGTGAAAAATTGTCTATCCTCAATTTTATTTAACAAATGAGTTGGACTGTGATTGTATGAAATTTTAAAAAGCTTTGAATGGAGAACTGTGGATGACTGTAGTAACATATATGAGTTCCTTTATGAAGGCCCAAGTATATCAACAGCAATTTTCTTGAGAAATATAAATAAGAGTTTCTTGTATATTGTACTGTTTTTAAGTAATATGATTTATTTATCTTAAATTAAACTTCCTTTTCAGTAAAAAAGATTAACTTATTCAAGACTAAGTTGTTCAGGGTCTGATAGGCACCAAAAATTATACTGAGTCTTAAAATGACATGAGGACATACAAAAAAGACAATTATTTCTTTCAGGGAGTTTAAATTTATTGTAGAATCTTTAGAAGTTTATAATTTAGATAAATACTTAATTTTTTGACATGAGGTCCTGATTACTACTATAGAAATAAAAACAAAAATTCTACAGAAGAGGGAGAAATTACTTCAGATTGAAGGATTCTTTTAAGATTGTCTGGAAAAACAATATTGAGTACATGCATACACATAATATGCATGAATGGCCAAAGGCTTCATCGTCATATGTGCCAGTGATAAGATCTTGTATATCTCACTAAGAGATACTGAACATGGAAGGAAGGAAAGAAGGAAAAGAAAGAGGTAAGAAAGAAAGAAAGATGGAAAGAAAGATATTCACTTGTCTAAATGCAGGCCTTTTTTTTTTACAAGCCAGAAACATAACTTTTAGGAAAAAATGTTCTTAATTCTTTGTAATTTAATATTTTGCAGAAGAGATATTAAGTATGATTGATTTTGCCTATGTCTATCTTCAGGGCAGTCAGAGTCAAGAAAGGAATAATGGGTTCAATCAAAGAAGACTGTTGCGTTCATCTGGTCAAGTGCTAGCTCGTTCACAATCTGCTCAAGTCAAACGTTTTCCAAATCCAAATCCACCAAGATCCCTCTTGCTTCAATATCACCAAAACTTAGCTGGCCAGTCACTAAGTAGATCAACCAATTCAAAGTTACTTCCTCCTACAAAGCAATTGCTTTTAAAGTCATCGATCCCCAAAAACCTAGCGAAACCACAAACTCATTCAAATAAAGCTAGCCAACCAAAACTAGGTCCAACTGAGCACAGTTCAAAAACTCAAAGTAGGTCTAGGCAGCCACAAGCTTATCAAAATAACCCTATTCAAAAAAGTCCCTGTTTCAAGTCACCTATTCACAAAAGATCCAATTCATTACATCCTGGTCCATTATCATACTCTAAAACACAGTCTCAAAAATCCCAATCTCTTCCAAATTTTTCTGCTACAAGAGTGATCAGGCCATTCAGAACTCCTTCAAATACAATCTTTCAGCAAAAACCGCAACTAACCAAACATAATCCTAATCCACACACGCTGCAAAAAGCTAGCCTAAACAAGGCACATGCAAATGAACTTGCTACAAGAGCTAGACAAAGGAAGCCTAATTCAAAAGCACTTGTCCAAAATATAGCATGCCACACCAAAACTCATCTGCAGCCACCTGGTGGAAGAAAATATATACAGCCACTTGATCCAAGAAAACTTCTACAACCATTGAGTCAAGGAAGACGTCCACAGTCATCTAGTCGAAGACGACACCCACATCCAGTTGGTCAGAAGATATCAAATCCACCAATTAAAGTACCTGGACAAATTAAGCCTTGTATTAGGCCACACATTCAAAACAAACCTGGATCACACCACTATCATCCACATATATCTCTTTCTCCAGGCAGGCTATATCCACCTCCCTTCGTTCCCAGCCCACGACCTCAGGTGCAACCAGTTAGCAAGGTGGTAAGCACCAGAACCCAAGTCTTAAACACAACTCCATTTTCTGCCATTGCCACCACAACTCCCCAGACTATCAGCTCCCACACAACCTCAGCTACAACCACAAACAAAATCTCATCTGCTCTCATTTCTGAAAGGACAACTTCTTCTGATATCACAGTTTCCAGTCCTGAAATCCAAGTTCCAGTCACCATTCCACCCACTGCTGCAACCACGTCTAATGCCCCAGCTACTGAGATTTCAACTCCCCTTGTTACTACCACTCCTCTCACAGCCACCACGCAAACAACTCCTTTTACCACACAAGAGATTACCATTGTACATGCAACTGCTGGAGATCCAACTATACTTTCCAACACAACCATCACATTTGCAGCTGCAACACTCTTTACCACCACATCGTCTGCCATTACTGTGCAAAATACCACTGCTTCCACCAACACCTCATCCGCAGCTGATACAGAAAGGACCAAGACCCTCAGGATGACCACTGAGCCAGGATATGAAACAACAGAACTTCCCTATAGCAGCCCCAACCCTGATGATAACTATATATTTGAAACTACAGAATCTGATTACTATTATGAATAATTCGATGTCTCTAATCCTGAAATTACACCAACTACCCACACCACTCAAAAACCTACCTCTACCATCAACCAAATACCACAATTTTCTAAACTATATTGCTCTTTAACTCCATGATTGTGACTTTTTTTCTCTAAAATATTTCCAAAGTATTTAGAAAGACAATAAAGATTAAACAAGTGAGATTATGGAGTATTTTATGATTTCATTAAAAAAGAACTCTTTAGTCATTTTAAAGCACTACCTTCCTTTTCCATCACTGCATGACTCTACTAAGCCCTCAATGAGAGAATTAGACAATTTAAAGTACAAATACAAACACTTCTAGAGTCATCCTTAAGCCTCAAACTTAGTATTGGGATTGGAGAGGGGGAAGAAACTAGTAGACTTTCATGGATTTCATTGAAAATTGTCATTTAATTTGTTCTAGTAGAAAAAGATAAAAGAAATATTGTCAACTGCTTAAAAGTATAGGTATGGGAGTCAGATTCATGTTAAGTCTTACTCCTGCCATTTATTACTGGAATAACCTTGAGCAACCTTTCCAGTCTTCAAATTCCTCATGTATTAAAATGATAATAATGACTCATCTTATAAAATAGTTGAGAATTTTTTTTTAATTTTATTTATTTATTTGACAGAGATCACAAGTAGGCAGAGAAGCAGGCAGAGAGAGAGAGAGGGAAGCAGGCTCCCTGCTGAGCAGAGAGTCCGATGCAGGGCTCAATCCCAGGACTCTGGGATCATGACCTGAGCCAAAGGCAGAGGCTTTAATCCACTGAGCCACCCAGGCGCCCCATAAAATAGTTGAGAAATTTAAAATGAATAATGTACCTGACATAGATAGCTAACACAGAGTAACCACTAAATGGTGGTGGTTGTCAGAAAATTGTGTAGAGATCTTCTTTACTGCCCTCCAACACGTGAATTAGAACTCTCTCTCCTTTTCTCTTTCCACATTAGCTTAGCACTTGGCTGGTATTATCCCTTCAGTGGGACAAGTTGTTCCCTAGAACCCATTCATTTGCATCTGTTAAATCTGGGAAACCACGCTGCCTTATTCCATATTAAAAGTCAGGGAGGTGTTCAGTTAGATAGACTCTTCAGTCCTCATAAGCTCTAGATTTTATCATTTTCTTTCAGAGATTCAATGCAAAATTGGATATTATGGTAAAGTATCACTTAGAGAATTCAGATCATATGAATTTAAGCTTCACTCTTGAAACCTGTACTATATCAAATTTGCCCTCTATGGTGTTGATTCTGTTTTTGAGGAAGGACAATAAAATGAACTATTTTGGAAAAGATTTCTGTCATGTTGTTATGTCACATGTTATGAAAACTGGATGAAATGCAGTACTAACAAAGAAATTTTTCTAAATTTTCTAAATTTTTCAGAATTTCTGAAAATAGGGGGCTAAAATGTCAGTACATGCATCCAAAGCTCCACCAGGCACTGAAAAATTCATTTTTGACATATTTACCTAATTTCTTAGAAAAAATACATGTAAATTCCCCCTAAATTAGAGAGACATAAAATTATTTTTATTTCTGAAGACATTTCTTTCTCCTCTGGGTTATCTGTATTTAAAATGTTCTCTACTTGGATAGTGCTCATTTAAAGAGACAAACAATTTTGCTTCCCCTCTAGAAATTATAGTATTTCTCTTCCTCATGTCAATCAATGAAAGATGTTTAGGACTCCCAAATTATTGATCACCATCTGGACTTTTATCCCCATATGCGTCTATATATGCCCTATTATAACGAAATCTCCCACCCTCCTCTTAGTCTCTGCCTTTCCACTGTGACTCAAGGGCAGGTAAGTTGTGAGCACAATACCATGGGTCTCCTGTCTCTATTCAGAAGTTTCCTGTCATCCTATTTCCCTAGCTGGCACTGGGTTCCTCAAAGTAGAATTTCCAGTATTGAATGCTTTTTCCTCACACCCTCATGAAGCACAGGACCTGGAGATAGGATACATGGACACCTCATAGCTTCAACTAGATTATTTCTGTTCCTTTTCCCTCAAAATCTGTCACTCTCTTAAAGTGTTTGTTGTCAGAGTTTACAAACACTGTTCTCCTGCTTTGCGGTTACCTCTTCTTCTCCTGGTCACTCCTCCAGTCACTGAATATTTTACTACCCAGCTCACCAGATTTCTCCCAACCATTTTTTGCTTTATAATGCTTGGTGACTCTAACAAGCACATAGGCAATTCGCTTTAAATCTGGCCTCACTTCTTTCACCTCATATCCAATGATCCTTTCCTTTACCCCACTTTTCCACCCTTTCGCATGGTCAAACCCTTGCAATCAAATACTGGACCTCCACCAAAAATCCCAATTTCTAGGTTTTTATCCTGTAATCACCATCTGCTATCTTCCCAGCTCCAGGACTACCAATCTCAATAATTCTTTGTTATATCTGGCCTTTAATCAATTCACCTCCCAGCTGGATCAAGGTCCATCCCCTTCCTCCTGTCCCTTTTTTCTCTTCTTTCTCTTCTTATCCAACTTATAGCCCATTAATATTTTTTCATTTATGTACACTGAACTCCTTCTTTTATGTGTGCATATTTTTACTAAAACTCCCACTTTATACAAACATAAGATGAATTTCAACATCACTGCATATGCTCTTCTTTTCTAATTTATAAAATTCCAGACACATATACATCACAACCAGAGTGTGATGAACCATTAGGCATAAAGGACCTAAAAAATAAAATCTATCAAAACATTCTCCTGTGTCTATAACTTGAACCTTGTGGTTATACCAGGGTTATTGCTTAATTTCACTGAAGGCAGAATGTCCATAAATGTTGCTGACCCATGGATATCAGTCAAAAAACCAAGTATACCTTTTAACAGGAAAAAAATGTGGAAAAAATAGAACTTGGGGACAATAATTCCACCACCTGAGTGTATTTTATAGTTATAGTGTAAGAAAAGAGTAAAAGTATTAACCAAACAAGATGGAAAGTAAAGCAAGATTAGAAGAAGAGAAGGAGTTCCAAAGCACAAAACAAGGTCTAGAGCAAGAAAATTTTGGGGGAATTTAGCAAGACTGGGGTCAAAGCTAAAGATGGAGAAAGAAGGACAAAACATCTTTCAGTAAACCCAACAAATCCATGGAGTTCCCTATTGGATACAAGCCCTGCTTGTGGGAGAGTTTACAAAAATATGTTTAGTATTGATGGTATAACCAAATGGAGATGTTCACAGGAAGTTGAGGAGCTGAAGATGGAAAGAGTTAACTTAAGATTTTAAGAAAGGAAATGGATATTCGATCTGTGTAAAGTACATAAAACCATGAGGACAGATTAGCAACTTGAGCATTATTTACATAACAAAACAGGGATTGTCACTCTCATAGTACCTGTTATTTTCTCACTAGCACTTACCACATGAGGAAACATCAAAATAATTAGGAAATTAGGAAAAGAGGATGTGCATACTTTCTCCTTCTATTCCTCTATCCTTTGAATCACCATATTCTTTGGTTAGTCTCACAAATATTACACTTTTTTACCAGAAGCCAAGGCTGTCTCCTTCTCCAGCTATTCCATTGTCTCCATCTCTGTTCTCAACCAAGATACCTGGTACTGTCTGTGGTTTGGACCCCATGGCCAAAGTGACAGACCTACCTCAAATAAGCAAGGCAAAAATTTAAAGTGTCATGTTAATGTTGGATCCCTTATGTAATCCACATACTTCACAGAATCAGAGAATTCCATGATTAAAGAATATTAAAATATATATTTAGGATTTCTCAAATTTATTGTTAAATTTAGTCATTGGAAGAGGTTACCAAGGGGGTGTGACAATTCGCTGAACCATGAGATGGACCTGGGTCAATTAGAGACTCCTGAACCTCTCCCATGCCCTTGAAATGTGCTTTCTGCTTGCCTTTTCCACACTGGAAGCTGACTAAAGGACACAGCCTTGAAACAGTAATATATTTTTGTGAAGACCTTGACAGTATACATAACTAAACCCAGTTAAGACCTCTATAGATGTTTTTAAGATTCAGGTAGGCTGGCATGGGGTCTCCTTTTCTTGCAACCACCCAAGATCAGCCCCATATGTAAGTTCCCTTATTAAACTTGCCGCTACCAGTCTGGAGTGACCTGCCTCTTATTTTGGTCTCTCCATGCCCTCCATGTGTTAGTCCAGTTTCAGACTTCCAGGAAGCTCCCAAGAATGAGAACAAATACTAGTTCAAGAGCACATGTGATATTCGAGTCCATTTTAAAATTAAGTCATTGTTGTAAAAGCAAGAAGAAAATGACACATTTAAAAGTTTGAATCAAGAACACTTTGTCTTTGACCTTCACTATCTTATCCCAAAGAATCTACATGGGCAAATAAAACTCAGATCTCCTTCCTGACACAAAAGCAAACTAGTGTCAGTTGAAAGGTTAATAGACTGAAAAGACTGAAAATCACAAGTGAGCCATTTACTATAAAGCATGGGTGTTTATCTAACCTTCTTTTAACGTACTCATCAAAGATGATTGAAATGCCAACATTGGTTACTGTCAGTCCATTAGCCCTGCTTTGTTGAAGATAAGGGTTGATCTTCCTTTATACATTAAGGAAAATCAGTATTTGTATATATCTTCTAAATTTTCAATTTCCATTAAAGCTCAAGAAACCTTCTCTACCCCACAGTTAAGATACTCTAAGAAGACATCAGATTACTGTTATCATATCAAATTAGTAACCACAAATTTTACCTACATAGGGATTACTGACACATCATCTTGAACCTTTTAATTAAGCTATTCATAGTGTGTATTTAAAGAGGAAAGTTCTAAAATTTTTAAAGGAGTTATTAAGCCAAGGATTTCTTATTTTTAGCTAGGAACGTTTTCTTTCAACCCCCTAAGTTTTAACTGGGTGAAAGTAGTGTTAGTAATAAAAGCCATTAGCTATGTATATAGTGGACCCTATCATCAACTGTGTTGTCCCCACTGAAAGTTCAGGCAGGTCATGGGGAGAAAGGTAATGGGGTTTTGCAAAATGATAGAATCTCTAGCAAATAGAACTTAAAAGCTTTGAGTAGATCATAACCTACCATTTGAATTACCTATTTCAACAAATTGTACTTAAAATAATACTCAGCCCACTTTGAAATATGTAACAGAAAAATTAAAGTCTTTCTGG